TGTCGTCGTTGTCGGACACAAGTGCATTGAGGCCCTCGGCTTCGACAGCCTCGACGATTCCACGCAGGCCGATAAGACTGGCCTGATGTGTGACCGTCAATCTGGAGGTAGCCAAGCTGAGCTTAGCAGAGTTGATACCGGTGATGGTCAGAAGCTTTGCTTCCAGGGCCATGGCGGCTGTGGCATCTGGGTTGCCGTAAATTTTGAATTGGGCGGTGGAGTTTCCTCCTGCACCATTCGCTGACGTCTCGAAAGCAGTCGACAGAATCTCAGCACCGAAGCCACGGTCCTCGATAATCTCGGCGATCTTCTCCGCTGGAAGCTTTGTTGTGTCGTGGGTTATGACGGCGCGCTCAGCCAATAAGCTGATATTGAAACGCAAAACGCCCTCCACCTCCTTGAATCCGCCCTCAACCGCAGATGTACAGGCGCCACAAGTCATGCCCTCAATTGCGACTGTTGTAGTGGCGACAGAGCTCGCGGGATTGCTGCTGGCTCTGGGCTTTTCTTGTGCGCTTTCGCTGTCCACAATCTCAGCGCCAAAGCCTCGGTCCTCGATAATTTCCGCAATCTTCTCGGCGCTGAGCAGTGTCGGGTCATGCTCAATGACGGCTCTTTCTGAGAGCAAGGATATGCTGAAGTTCTTTACGCCCGGCACGTCTTTGAATCCTCCTTCAACAGCTGATGTGCATGCGCCGCACGTCATTCCCTCTATGGCGACAGTTGTTGTCATTAATCCGCTGTCCTCCTCGGCATCAAACAGGTCTTGCTTTGCTGGAAACATTGGTGAGGGTAGATCGGTGGAGAGTACTTCGGCGTCGAATCCTCGGTCTTCAATAATCTCGGCGATCTGCTCGGCAGAGATGACTTCGGGGTTGTGCATTACTACCGCTCGCTCCATGACCAGGGCGACAGAGACGCTTCCTACACCCTCTACACCTCTGAAGCCCGACTCTACTGCTGAAGTGCAGGCGCCACATCTGTTGAAACTGGGTAAGCATATCGAAGCAGGAAGACGTCGCAATAGAGCGCAACTCACGTCATGCCGCCGACCTTGAGGGTCGTCGTCGCCCACTGGGTTGCTGTTGGTGTGGCGAGAGTGGCCATGGGACCACTCTCGCTCTTCCTCGGGACTCTAATGGCCGGAGGAGCCATGGTGTCGGTTTGTCTCTGGGAGGTTTGCGCTCAGGAGGCGGACGCGGTGTGAGTATAGGGCCAGCCTCGGTCTTTGGTTATGCTTCGGTTTCGGGACGATTTCCACAGCTATCTAGCACCAATCTTCATGATAGGGCTAGCTGTCCATAGAGAGGTAGGAAAGTCTTTTCGGGAGGTTAATCGAAGACGGGTTCGAAGTCGAGACGAAGCGAGGACTCGAGGTAAAGCTGGAAGAGAGACTTTCGGGAAATGCTCCAGAAGACCGGCTTCCGAGTACTATGTACGGATACTGAAAAGGTGGGTATCGTGGTGTTTGAGTGTACGAGTCTACGTGTTCCGCGTGTGCGTACGGAGAGAGTATGTTGGTGCGTTAAGTATGTGTACGTACGTGAGTAGAGTAAGGTAGCGCGCAAAAAAGAGGCCGGGTCAAGGTAGGATTAAGAATCAAGGGCCCGGGAGGCTAGAAGAAGAACGGCGGCAATCAATGGCACGATGGGCAGAATGGAAAGCGAGAGAGAGGCTTGGGGGGGACGGAAGCGGAAGGTCGGCTTTTGTCAGCCAAAGTTTCGTGGACCGGCAGGAATGGGACTGAAGGTCCGCCGCCCATGGGACTGATGGGAGTGGGAGGAGTGTGGGAATGTCCACACCAGGATGCAATGCAGCGGCAGTAGCAGCGGCCAGTGAAGCAAAGTTACAAACCAGCATCAGCACTGCTTGACTAGGGGGGGGGGGGCAGTACTGCGTACTCCGTAACAAAAGTAAGGTAAGGCAAGGTATCTATCTGTGAGGTAAGGTAGGTACCTTAGGTGGGCTGCAGGGCCAGGAGAAGAAGACGGAGCGGCGGCGTGTGGGTGCGCGCGGTGTACTCCGTAGCCGGGATCTAAGGTAATCATCTGGCGCAATCGTGGGACTGGCAACCAGGGGTGTGTGGGAGGGAAGTGGCCCCAATGGCCCGAAGGGGGTGTGCGCTTGCTGCTGCTGGTGCGTCTGACTGTCTTGTGTCTGTGCCTCTGTCTGTGTTGTGTGTGTGGACACACCTGGAACGGAGCATTGAACAAATTCCTGGGAGCAATTGCGACTCCAACTGCAAAACTGCAACGCTCTCAGCGCCAACTCTAGCGTAGCCATGACAGAACTGTTTAGTGTTGCCATATTCCATATTCCATGGCTGGCAACGGCTGCATTCGTTTTGGGGCTCGTGCGGTTAGGTCCCTCTATTGCTTTTTGCAGTTACAACTCCGGCAACTACACCTTTGCCCCTGCTCTTATTCTGATCTTGGCTTCTGTTCTCCGTAATTGTTTTCCAGTGACGCCTCCTGAGCCCTGAGTCTCGTTTTTTTGCGTTGCTCCCGAGCTTCACCCCTGACTTAGTTCGCTGATTACCTCATGGGCTACACCAAAACCGTCACCAGGCGCCGCGAGTCTTTGCATCATTGCCACGAGTCGACCCTCAAGAACGAGACTCAAAAGATAAAGAAGAACGGCGAATGTAGAATTGTGTCGACGACTCGACGGGCGTGGCCGAAGTGACCAACGGGATTCGCACGGGTGATCCCAGCCCGCACTGCAGCTTTCGGTGCTTGGGCGCCACACCTGCCCCGGGCCCCCCTCCCACTTCTCTCCTTCCATCTCCTTTTGGCCACCTAGCGCTCTTGGTCTATTTCTGGGCCAAAAGAGATCAGTGGGGGGATCGCGAGAACCTCGCACTAACATTGACTTGTCCAGATCAACCAATATCTATCCGCTCTTTGTCTGGCGCACCGCCTACCTACGCAGTACCAATCTGTCAGATGTCACATCGCTCACAGGCTCATTTACTGCCCATCTTCCACGAGGACTTGAAGACCTCTTCTTTGCGGATAGGTGTACGGAGTACAACTACGTATACCATTCCTTGACCGGTGAGACATCGAGTCAGGGCTAGGTCCGGCTGTGCATTTCCTACAGAAACATTATTCATGGCACTTCCCGGGGCAGCACGTAAGACTGACTGGGCTGACTGGCTTCAACTGACTGGACTTGGGTAAGCTGAGCTGATGGGTGCCAGAATTCATTGCCACGCTCCGTCGCTCACTACGACCTTCGTATCTATTGGCACACACAATCACACCCCTCGCTTTTCCTCGTCCGGGGGTCTGGGGAGCGCTTGCGCTTCGGCTGAGAAGAACGGAACACGACGACGCACCTGAGTCCTGAGCTTGGCTCACGAAACATTCGGGGGGCACGGTCACTTGAGGCAGTTTTTTAGGGTCCAAGGGGACTCCTGGGTTCGGATTGAGCTTCAGCCTCAGACCAGTCTAGCACTTTGGGTGTCTGGCTTGTCTGAGTCGCCAGAAACCAGTCCATCCTAATTCTCCATTGGACGGTGTAGACCAGCGCGTCTCGAGGTGGGAAGTGTGGGCGCTATGCTTCATGCTCCTGAGAGCTGTGTTCCGTTCCGTGTCTCTTCAACTGAACTGTGAACACATGAGAATTGCAAATCAACGAGACTGAACAGCGATGCTGGCGGCACATGATTGTTGCGTACTTCTGATCTTTATTTCTCTGGATTGAGCTCCAACAGACCCAATTCGTACGCCAACTTCTGTCTCTCGAATTCGTATTGTACTCGGTATCGGTCTGTCGTTCGTAAGACCCGACTTCCACTATGACTTTATTTTTGAGTTTCCGACGGACCGAGCAAACTATTCTGTCAACTTCTCTCTTCCAGACCGCCGGCAACAAACCCTGGTACCCAATCCGATGTCAACCCAAAAAAAAGCTCCGCGTCGATATCGTTAACATACGATGTTTGCTTCTGAAGAGGGGGTCATGACGCCGATTCGACTTACTATTACCTGTGCCAAGCTCCAATGTAAGCTGCATAATCCATCATCCATATCTGCAATGTATTCAAGATCCTTCAAAACCACCCGGATATGGAAGGTAAAATGTTATCCAACAATATTGCAGCAAAAGTGAAGAAACGATGGCATGTGGCTTCGGGTGCAAATTGATCTTCGGGAGATTTTCGCAACGAAACCCCAGTTCCTTGTAAGATCATATCGCCAAGCTCCGGCTCCAACTTCCTACAGTTGCTTCTCGAAGCCGTTTTAGCTTTAGGCCATGGAACTCATGAGGAACACGATTATTGCCAGTCTCAGTTCCCCTGCCATATGGCTCTTGGTCAAACGGGAAGGAGACAAAGAGACCAGTTACCTGCCATGCTCCTTTCTTGTCCAACCTGAAGTGAGACCATTGGAGGGAATGCAGAAGAGCTTCCCATTCCAATTCCCGTCAGCAGCCCGGCTGGTGCGGGATGACCCATCCGGCCTTGACTTAAGGTGTGCCTCGAAAATGCTTGCCTTAGGTAAGGTTACTGAGGTTAACACGGTAGGTCAGGTAAGATACCTTACTCCGTAAGATGTGTTGACCCCACCAGCACCCTGCCAGGTGCCCGAAACCGCTCTGCCCCGCGCCACTAAGGCACCCGACCTCTGTGGCAGCGTCCCCATTCGCTCTTGCAGCGGCCCTGTCTGGACGGCACCTCAAACGGATCTGACACAAGCTTCGTCCTCAGAACGATCTCCAAAGGAAACACACCACAAACGAACCAAACCCCCTTCGCTTCCTCACACCCTTACGATTTACCAACCTCTGACGACACGACAGAGAGGTAGCATCCTCCGAAAGCGACATTCCTTTTCAGCCTCGTCTCGTCCGATCCCCAGCGAGTTGGATCAACCTACCTTCAGCCTCGTCAACCCAACCCCACATTGTGCTATTGCAGGTAGTGACGACAGCTACTCCTACAGCAGTACCCCACCTCGTAGCTTCGTGAACATCACAGACGAGGAGCTGTCACGATGGAGCAGACCAAAGCTCTCAATGCTCTCGAGGTAAGTTGCCAAAACAGCTACATATACTCTTCCATCTACGAATGCATATGCTAACGACCTCCGGCCAACAGCCCTTCCTGGCCCTGAGCAAGTCAGCAACATCCCCCCGCGCCGCAGCCGACCTCGTCAACCGTGCAACATCAAACCCAAACACCTTCCTTTTCACAGAGCTCCTCGAGACCCCGCAAATTCAAGCCCTCTCCCAGTCTCCCGACTTCGAACCGCACCTCCGCCTGCTCGAGCTTTTCTCCCACGGCACCTATGCCACCTACCAATCCGCAACCTCGGCCTCAGCACCCCTTCCCCAGCTCAACGATGCTCAAACCCTCAAACTCCGCCAGCTCTCCCTCCTGACCCTGGCCCGCGACCGCTCGAACCTGACCTACGCAGCCCTCCAGTCCGCCCTCGGCCTCCCCTCAGCCCGCGCTCTGGAAGACCTCGTCATCTCCGCAATCTACGCCGGCCTCCTCGACGCAACCCTCGACCCCCACCGCCAAGTCGTCCAGGTAAACTCCCTCGCCGCCCTCCGCGACCTCGCACCCGGCGCCGTCCCGCCCATGATCGCCGCCCTTCGCGCCTGGTCCAGCCGCTGCGAATCCACCCTCGGCGACCTCGAGTCTCAGATCGCAGGTATCCGCGACGCCGCCGCCCGCCGCCAGCGCGAAAAGGCCGCACAGGACGCCCGTCTGGCAAAGCTTGTCGAGGACGTCAAGAAGGATCCCGAGACGGGGGGCGCCGGTGGTGCGGGGGGCCGGAAGCTCGCCGTCGGTCACGCACAGCACGGCGGCAGCAGCAGTGGGGAGAGGGTAGGCGGCTTCTTGGGCCACACGTCTAGAGCGCAGCGGTACAACAAGCGAGGTAGCACCAGCATGATGGACAACACGGAGGAGATTGATGACGAGGCCATGGACGTGGACGAGGAGGATGACGAGCAGGAGAAGAAGCGTGCCAGTCGACGGAAGCTTTAGTGGATTGATTGGTTGCTGGCAAGGCCGGAGCCGTAGAGGATACTTCCGGTCTCGTTTTGGGGACACTCCTCCTAGCGTTACACCTGGGACCATCAGCCAGAGACCTCATTAGAGGCTCGATGGCACTTGATAGACGGCCAGGACGTGGCATAAGATGATGGCTGAAGTGAAAGCAGCCGAAAAAATAGCACGAGCATTATCACGATACATTATGAGAACTCAATAAATACAGTCAACATCGAATTCGATAATACCGGCAGAGATTGGTCTTTGCCGTTTCCTGTTCTGTGATGCCTATCTAGCGAGCCATTGATAAAATGTTAAGGGAATGTAGAAAGTGAATGAATGTGTCGAAGCCAAAAGTCTCCTACCGCGTCTCCTCCGCCTCTTCCCCTGCCGGCTCGCAGTTTTACCTGCATTTCGGCGCGAGGTGTCCAGTGTCGATTCTCGCAATGTCGATAATGATACACCAATGCCTTGTGTACATTGAAAAGAAATTAAATCTGTGCCTCGTTGAACGCCGTGTGCGAGGCTATGCTCCCCTAGGGGCCTCGACTTTCCCTACGCCGTGCCTCTCTGGTATCCTGAATGGAAGACCGAATCAAAACCGAAAATTTGGGAAACTCTGTCGCTCAAAATCCTGTGGGTCGTAACGTTCGTAAAAGCTCTCTCTTTGGGAGACAAAGCGTCCATATTATTACATCTGTGATGTGGTATGGGGCCGCATTGTTGTTGTGTTTGGGGTATTGCAACACATCCTTTGTTTGTGGTCCGGGGGCAGAACGAGGCATGTTACAGCCGTTTACCAGGGACAAGGATGAAGAGCACACAGAGCGCGGCGTCGATCAAAATGGTGACGGCGAGAACCATGATAGACCGCTTAGCAAGGAGCTTACGAACGTAGGGCTCACGAATTCGAGAGAAGTTGAACGGTGTGTACTCGCTGAGGCCGATGAGAGCGAGGACAGGATCCAGAGAGTACTGGTATGATGCGAGGAAGTAGACACCAACGGTAAATGGAAGGATAAGCTGAAAGACAGGTTAGCAGGCGGATTTCGGATATGAGGTCATGCATAGACTCACCCAGCATCTGGTAGTTCGTGGGGCATTTAGGAAGATGAGGATGAAAGCGGCCCAGAAGCCACCAAACATGGCCAGAAGACCAATAATCATTCTGATCTGGAGAGTGGTCGGGATGAGGTTGCCAAGGGCCTTCATTCTCAAGAAGTTGGGGAAGGCATCGCGTTCCATAGCCTGGAAGACGTAGTCCTTGGCAACGTCAAACACCTCTGGATCGTCTCTACCAAAGTCCTCAATGGAAGTCGTGACGTCCTGAGTAATGGAACCCGGAAGAATGATCTCACGCTCGGCGCCCGGAAGGAGGAAGGTGTAGAGGATCTTCTCCGCCGAAGCTCGGATGTCCTGTCTCGCGACGGTGTGTGCGGGAGAGTTTGAATCCGTCGTCAGGTCTCGCGGGGTGCTGAAAGCCCCACTGGGACGGCTGCGATGCTCTCCAGTGCTGCTTTGAGGGGAGTCTTGGGCCTCTTCTCTCAGGTAGGCCGACATTTGGGCATCCTGGTTCTTCTCCTTCTCAGTAGCATACATCGATGGGCCAGCGGCGGAATGGCTCATGTCACCAAGTCCATCCAAGATCTGAGAAGACCGCTTAGAGCCCGACTTATCCAAGTCGGGTGTTCCAACCAGGACGGATCTGCGGAGTTCGCGCACATAGTGGCGGCACAGGGACATGTGCTGAGCAACATCGAGCCTATCCTTCGTTAGTGAACAAACGCGTGATTTTGGAATGACGTTTGCAAATACCAGAAATCGAGGTAATCGACGGATTTTTGCTGATCTCTCATGAAAATGTAGAACGAGAAGAGGTCGACGGGCGGCAGAGTTCGACGACTCAAGACCTCAAACAGAGTCGGCAATCGGTTCCGGTGCAGGTCTGGCTGAGGAGAAGGTGAGCCGGAGGCCCCGGTTGATCGGTCCTCCATGATATCGATTGAGTCGGAATCGCGAAAAGAATCGGTAGACGGAATCGTAATTATGTAGTGATTGACGAAGAGAAATCGGACGAGAAGGAAACGGCGGCCGACAGAGTCGCTGTCGTCGGGTGGTGCGAAGTCGAAGTTTGGTCGTCGGAGAAGCGCGGTACGGATATCGTAAATGAGGTTTGGCAGGTGCACTCCGCAAAGGTTCAGTCGTAGCGCGGCTGTCTACTCGTCGGTTGCTAGGCTTCCCCTAGGTCGGTTTGTGTACTGAACGAGCGTAAGAAGGGAAGGATCGCGCACGGCGCAAACTGACAGCGTCAGTGTGATTGACGATGGCGCTGCAGGGCGTGATGGCTTGAGTCTTGAATGCCGTTGGGATACGGCATAACAGCAGATCAAGCAAGCACTCAGACCCAGACACTAATTTCGTTCAGGTTGTCTGGTCAGGGGGGATACGACCCACCTGTACGTACTTTCCTCCGAAAAAGCGCGCTTTCCCACTGTCAGTTTGGTCCCACCCACACACGAGTCCACTTTACTGCAGCGCCTTAGCTTCTCAGGCACTCAGACGTTTTCTGGAGCAACGTCACGTGCCCCGTATCAAGAAAAGAGGGACAGGTGAACAGAAAACGCCGCATTACCTCAACTGCCCAGCCACAAGCACAGGCCCCGCCTCAGCCACGGAAAAGCAGGTAGGGCTTGCAATTTCTCGCTTCACATTTTGTGGGATGACCTGCCGGACTACGCAAAACCATCACATCGACAACTTCTTAGACAATTCGACTCCGCGATCCCGACGACCGAACCGCCCAACGAGAGGTACCGCCAAAATGTCGACCAAGCAGAAGAAGCCCGCCGGAAAGCAGCGTTCCGCCATCGCTGATGTCGTCGCTCGCGAGTACACCGTCCACATGCACAAGCGCGTTAGTATTTCCCCGAGGAGAGAAAAAAGGACGCCGCCGTCGATAGCGAATTCAATGGCCCACGATGGTGATCCGGTAGCATAGCATAGCAATGCTGACAATTTTCGCTCTGTAGCTCCACGGCGTTTCCTTCAAGAAGCGCGCTCCCCGTGCCATCAAGGAGATCAAGGCTTTCGCTCTCCAGGCCATGGTACGTCTTGCTTGTCCCTCTCGAGCCTATCCCGAAATTTTGCACCCAAGACCCAACCACGGCAATCGGCCCCATATCGAACCACATCACATGGAAGACACCATCAAAAGAATGCTCACTAACCTCATGATTTGCATAGGGTACCTCCGACGTCCGCGTTGACCCCCAGCTGAACAAGAAGGTTTGGGAGCAGGGCATCAAGGGCGTTCCCTACAGACTCCGCATCCGCATCTCCCGCAGACGAAACGACGAGGAGGGTGCCAAGGAGAAGCTGTACAGCTACGTCCAGGCCGTCAACGTCAAGAACCCCAAGGGTCTCCAGACTGTTGTCGTTGAGGAGTAAAAAGTTCTCTTTGGGATGGTTTCAGGGCGGCATAAAGGCATCGGAGTTGCATTCGGCATTCTAGTCTCACATACAAAATCGACGGAAATGTGAACAACGCTTGATTCCCCACACGACTTCGACGACTTTTTACTAGTATTGGACCCCGCGATGTGGTGGAATGTTATTTTTTGTCTGCGCCAAAGTGCGCGCGAAGGAAGCGTTGCGTATGTGTCAGGCAATGGTGAACGATGACGAAGGCTTTATGGGACATCAACAATCTCTTGTGGTTCATGTAACACACATCGTCCAACAGGGTCTTCTTTTTTTTTATCGTCTTGGTCGCGGTCTGTCGGAAGCAGATGAACAGGATATACCCAATCCTGAAGGCCAAGTCCCGACCATGCAATGCAGTCCAATTCCTAACAAAAAGAGTTCCAAAACCACCGGCCCGTAATCATACATGATAGACTCCAATTCTCCAGTGCTCGAAACAATGTTTTCTCATCCTCGTGTCATCCACAAGCAAGTCCGCGCTCACTCATCCTCAACATCGCGGTGACGAGCGAGGACCTTGCGCTTGAACTCCTCGGGGTCCTTGTCCCACAACTCTGCAGCCTCGCCGTTGAGAGGAGAGGCACTGGATCCATATTAGCACTGTCAGACGAACCACTTTTTGCCGGGGCAACTCACTTGTTTGGCTCGCCCAGCAGACTCTGCAAGCTGAGGAGTACAGTTTGAATGTTGTAGGCGGGTGTCCACTTGTCCTTGAGGATATCCAAGCAGATGCGGCCAGAGAAGTCGAAGTTGGGGTGGTAGATGGGCGTCGTGAAGAGCACCGTTGGCGCAGCGTAGGGGTAGTTGTTGGGGAACGACAAGCTAAGCTTGAGCGTCAGGCCGGCGTAGGGAGTCTGTTCGGGTCCCTCAATCGTCGCCGTCCAAGACATGAGGTTGCCGTCTGCCGAAGGGAATGCCGAGACGCCGGGAGCAGGAGAAGTCATAAGCTGCATCAATTCCGTCTGCAATCTGTATTCATGAGATTAGTCCACCTGGTCGTAGATGAGACGGCAACATCTTCCAACGAGATATTCATACCTCTTGGTAACGCTCTGCGCATCAGGTCCCTTCCTGGCGCCAGCAATCTTAGCTGCTGGAACGCTTCCGGGAGCGGAGTTCTGGGTGTCCTCCATGCTGTAGTCCATTGTCGCAAAGGTCGTGAGATGGAAAGAAGCAATCGCAAAGAGCACTGGTCGAGGCGAAGGGGGCGTCTTGATGCTAGGAGGCTGGGATGAGAACTGGGATGAAGCAGGTAGATGTTTGCTAAGGCAAGGTGATATTCGGCCAGCCAGTACTTATGTGCAGGGAAATGCAATGTGCGGGAAGATGATCAAGGGGCGAGGTTGGAAGCTTGCAGCGTCAAGAACAACAGAAGGCGATTGTTCCGTAGGGCGAGAAGGGCAAGGATGGGGAATTGGATACGCTGGTACCTGGGCGACGCGCTGACTTTGGCATCCGCTTTTGGACTAGCGTCGTCGCTGCCGTTACCAAAGTCAACGGCGAGTACAAGCCAACGACCTCCCTCACCTTACATCTCAATTCACGCCTCGATCGCACCTTATTTACCCCAATTACAGACAATTAATAAAGCAATAATTTCCTCTGGATCAGCCACGACTTATGAGATGGGTTTCTATTTTCCATGAACGGATCGAACATGCGTTTCCAATTTAGTCTACGCACTTCCCGATTGACCGTCCGGGATTTACGCAACAACTAATCATCTTGTCATAATGACTTGGGTAGAGGCCACGGGCTGCATTCTGAGAGATACCTCGTTCGCTATTCCAATTCTCTATGATAAGGCTTTTTTTTTCTACCAAGCAATGATTGTGCCCAACCAAAGAAAAGCATCATATACCTATATACAAGTTTAGAGCACATGATATCTTTAATTATGCGCTACTAGGAACGTCTGGACTGCAGAGTCGTAGTACAGGACCTATATTGTAGATTGATAAGTAGAACGTCTTCAGTGGCCTGGTCTTGAGTAAGTCGTGTCCATGCCCTTTATTGGCATCAAATTTCGGTCGTTGTGAGCATCGATGCCGCGTTCAAAGATCAAAGTCACCACTGTTCATATTCACTCGGCAGGCTCAAGTATAAGCCATATTGAAGCTGGCATACATACAGCATTTTGAGCATGTGGACTTAATTCAAAGTTTAATGCCAATGATCGTTTCTGCTTTTCGTAAGTAAGTAGGCAATGTGCTCACCTGTCAAGCTTTAGTACTAAAGCACCGATAATACAGGCAGTGTCGAATGAGTCTGGTCTATGGAACTTCTTGCCTTTGGCAGCATATTCACTTCAGAATAAAGTGCTCCAGAAAGAGCATTGTAAAAGGTAATAAAGGAAGCTACGCTCTTTCCTACTTTTCTACTTTCCCTCTTACCTGGCCTTCTTGCCCTTTAGAATATCCGACTTTTTTTTCACTTCTGCACCTGGCTTTTTCTCTATTCCACATAATCAGACCAGGTTCCCTTAGTCTGATTCAGTGACGCTTCAATAAGCGCAAAGGTATTTTGAATCGTTTAACCCATTCGCCTCATTATCAGACATTTTAATGTTAACGAGAATCACACGCAGCAGTGCGACACGCCTTCTTAACTCCTTTTCATCTTCACAAGTTCTGGGAATCCGATATCACTTTCCGCACCGTTATCCTTTACCGGTTAATTTTCAGCTTTTCTGACGATCTGAGAAGATGGACGAGGAAGATCTGATTGAGTTCGACACTGAACCGGTTAAAGAGATGATTTTCCGACGATCTGTGGAGGCCGACGAGGAAGATCTGATTCAGTTCGATACTGAACCGGTTAAAGAGATGATTTTCCGACGATCTGAGGAGGTAGACGAGGAAGATCTGATTCAGTTCGATACCGAGCCAGTTAAAGAGATGATTGTCCAACGATCTGAGGAGATGGACGAGGAAGATCTGATTGAGTTCGATACTGAACTAGTCGAAGAGATGAAACAACTTCGCCTGCGCGAGGGCTGCGTCTACAAACATGGCAGTGTTCAGAAAGATGGCGCAAATTCGTAAGTCACACCTTCCTATTACCTCACCAGCGAAGGTTCACTGATAAAATAACTTCACCAAGACTTCCAAGTGCCGAAAACTCCTCACCCGAGCACCATGCCATCAATCCGACCCCGCTGTTGAACAACACTCAGTCTGATGTGAAGACAACTCACACTGCGACCAGTCCTACTGGAGTTCAGGTCGTTCTGCCCAAGAAAGCAGTCGAGAAGAAAGAAATTGCCCCAGCAAGACAGTACAAGCGAGACCCGACCATTTGCGCGTTCGGCTTTCATAACCACTATTTGTGGGAAACGATTTATGCAGCAGGCCACCGCTGTGATGTCTGCAAGAGGATGCAGACCGAGTACATCTACAAGTGCCTCAAATGCCCTTTCAAAATCTGTTGGGCCTGTCGATGCGACTATGGACTGACCAACAAAACGGCCAAGTAAGTAGAATGACATCTTCACGTCGTTACTATCCTAACATCCTGCAGGGAATTGCGCCGTCGACGTAAACGTGTCTAAGGCAGGCATTTTGATGCAGCTCAATGATCAACTGAGGCTGAGGCAGGAGCGCTGTTCTTTCATCTCCCGAGCATTTTGTTCCAAAGAACAGAGAGAATAGTTCTACCGATTTGCGCAAACTGGCCAGCCGCCGCATTCGATTGCTGAACTTGACTACGAGAGTTTGGGGCTTTAGTTGTTTGCGTTTTGATTTCTTGACGGAGATGGACAAGGCAAAGAGACTGGGGGTTTTCTAGGTCTTAAATTGAACACTACAACGAAGACTTGTTATCATTGAGGGGCTAGTGATCACCTTCCAAGGAAACTTGACAGCTTGTTGATGTTGCTGGGAGGTTAGGTTTGGCTACAAAAGCGGCGACACTATAGAGCAGGGATTCTGCCACTTTGGAGGGGTGTATTGGAGGAGTGGCGGCGGACTGTTTACCTGACCAACACTGCAGCAACCGCGATAAGAGGGCTTATCGGCCAATGAATTCGCGTTGATGCAGGCGGCAATGAAACACCTTCCATGACTCCAAACAAAACACGCCAAAAGCTCTTTACGCGGTCAAGACGCGCTCCAGAGTGCCAACGCGGGGGGACGAACGACCCAAGACACACCTCAATCAACATGGTGAGTTCTTGTTGACGCTGGACCCTTGGACCCTTTGTGCGGAATTCGCTTTACGCTAGTTTGATACGTCATCTATCCATTCCATTTTGCCTGGCATCCTTTGCCTGACAGCACCGTGAATCGATATCCCTGTTCGCCTTTCCATTTCCCCTGGGCTCGGTCGGTCTCAGCCATGAATTAGTCTGCCGCAGAGTCTATCCCAAAACCATCTGAACTTCTCGGCTCACTCGAAAAAGATGCAGCAATCACAGCTGGACCCTCTGCCCAGTGACCTGCCCTTCAGGGTCATCTCAAAGACCATTGGGCGAGGGGCTTATGCATCGTAGGATCTCACCCCTTAATCTGACGTCTGATGAACCCCGCCACTGACTGCGGGCATCCAGAATCAAGAAAGCCGTCCCTCTAGACGCAAACACGCCCGTCTTCGCCGTCAAATTCATCCACAAGGGTTACGCCGTCAAGCATGGCCGCGTGTCGGCAAAGCAGCTCCTCATGGAGGTATCACTCCATTCACATGTCGGCCAGCACCCGAACATCATTGAGTGGTTCGCTTCGGGAGAGGACAGCAATTGGCGATGGATTGCCATGGAGTTTGCCGATGGAGGCGACCTCTTCGACAAGATTGAGGCAGACGTGGGCGTTCACGAGAACATTGCTCACCTCTACTTTCTGCAACTTATCAGCGGCGTGAGCTTTATCCACTCAAAAGGCGTTGCGCACCGAGATCTGAAGCCCGAAAACATTCTGCTATCCGAGACGGGAAGTCTGAAGCTCGCCGACTTTGGCATGTCAACCATGTTCGAGTACAAGGGCCAACGGAAGACGAGTTCCACCCTTTGCGGCAGTCCGCCATACATCGCGCCTGAAATCCTTGCGTGCGGCAAGGCAGAGAAGAAGGCATTCTCGGACGCGATCAAGTACTCGCCAGACCTCGTTGACATCTGGTCATGCGGTGTCATCCTCTTCGTACTATTGGTTGGCAACACACCGTGGGATGAGCCGTCGAAGGGTAGCTGGGAGTACCAGGAGTACGTGCGAACGAACGGCCGCAGCACAGATGCGCTTTGGGGGAGGATACCGTCAGATACCTTGTCACTGCTTCGAGGCATGATGAACATTGACCCGAGTAAACGCTTCTCTTTTCGACAGATTCGACAACACCCATGGTACACCAGACAAAACCCGCATTTGACATCGGATGGCGCGATTTCCGACCCCATCAACTTGGCCACGCAGATGCTGGAAAGTCTCAAGATCGATTTCAACCAGCAGCCCACAGCCTCCCAGGGCAACCCGTCCAGCAGTGATCCCATGGATATCGACAGCGCCGGCAAAGTCTCCTTCACTCAGCCCGAGACACCCATCAACGACGTCGCGTGGGATTGGGAGCGCCCTGCCCTTAAAGTCATGAACCCTATTGCGGTCTCCTCCACGCAACCTCTCACCCGCAGCGTGAGCGGTGTCGCCAACCGACGCTTGTTCATGGAGTCCCTTGCAGAAGAGCCTTCCATCAGCCAATTCTCGCAGACCCCCGGTGTCCCTCTGACCCTCACCCAAGCGGCTCGTCGCTTCCGCGATATCGTGCCGTTCGAGTCTCTCACGCGCTTCTTCTCTCACGTGCCGCCCCAGCTCATCGTGCAGATGCTCAGCGACGCGCTGCACCAGCTCAACGTCCCGCTACCGCCCGTCACGCCGAATCTGTACTCGGACCACATCGTTATCATCAAGATCAAGACGCTCGACGCGCGTCGACAGTCGCTGCATGGGGAGATCCACGTCGACAAGCACAAGCTGCCTGAGGAGCAGGAGCTGCTGGACATTCGGTTCGTGAAGATCAAGGGAGACCCGCTGGAATGGCGTCGGTTCTTCAAGAAGATTGTCGTCCTCTGCAAGGATGGCGTGTACGTGCCGGATGCATAGGAAGGATGCCGGCTTGGATAGAGTGATGGATTGAAATGATGTTTACGCTGTATAGATGTATAGATAAGACCTGTTACGAATGAAGAAAGGAAAATAATACCCTTAGTAATGGTCCTCGGAGCCAACATGATACCCGATAAGAATGGTTGAATGATGACATCAAAGAAGGAGAAGAAACACCACCTCTAACCCCAAGGGTCCATGGTTCAAAGAAGAACTTGCACGGGGACAGAATAGAGGAATAATGCGACCATGATCTTTAAACTCAACGAAATCTACCGAAATCACAAAACCTCAACGTGCTCCATCTATCTAAATTCAAATAAACCAACCCAAGCCCAACCTAGTACCTCCATCTCCTTTCGAATCCCAAAGGCGCAGCTAACAAACATGCTTATCAACACATAGGAAACGACAGAGCCATATCCATCTGTGGCCCCCGGCCTCCCTACAAGTCCATGTCAACGTCCCCGTCCTCATCAGACATGTAATCTGGGTCCTCGTCAGCTTCTTGTGGAATGTCAGACTCAGGTTGCCGATAAATCACGTCAGATGTCGACTCTCCATTGGGAAGCTCTGTGTTGACAATTCGGACAAGCGTGCGGCGACTGTCCTTTCTCAATGGAAGATATCGATCAAGTCTGCGTTTGCGACTGGCAGCTTGAATGGCAACCTGCTCATAATTGTCGTTGATTCTGTCAACCCAAGTGCCCGCATAGCACCTATCCCGAATGATCTTCCGTAAAGAACCATGCCATTTCTGAAACTCTCTTGAGATCAATGCGAGCAGTTTCTTGAAAGTCGGGCCATGATCGGACAAGCCATCCGTATTAAGTCGATCCCTGTAGCATCGAGGACGTCTGCAAAGAAACATTGCGATGTAGGCATGTACCATCTCATGGATGAGAGCCACAACCGACTTTTCAAATGAGATAACATGGAATGGTCCCACTCCGCCGGAAGAATTCTGGTTGGCACGCGGTGAATATTTGAGCCAGAGCCTCATCACCGAGAACCACTCGCCGTCGCCGCGATTGGACTCTGCTTCCGCTAGTCTCCACGCAACGGCCGAAACTGTGCCCTTCAAAACACCATAGCCGGTCTCCAGCTTTGTTAGCGGATGCGTCTGGGAGCTAGTGGTAAGACTGCGATGAGGTCTCGTCAAGGCACCAAGGAAGAAAAAATCGTCAAGGTGCAACATCATTGTGTGCAGCGCGCTTTCGAGGCGTTGCGCCATCGACCTGACTTCTTCCGAGCCACGACCTTTCTCAAATGACTTGAGCGCCTCCGGGGCGAGATCGCTCCAGGCTTTGGATAGGATTCGTGCGTCACGGTAAACTTTTTTAAATCCACTTCGAGCCGCAACCTGCTGCGGTCGAAGCTCACACTCGTGAAAGTTTTGCGCAGTGAGATTCAGCAGAGGTGTTGCGCCATACGACCCCACGACCAGTGGTACGTAAGGTGGAAAATCTCGAGACGTCAGAGGCCGTGGGCTGTGAGTTGACGGCGCTGGGAAGGGGGGGTGTTGGCATTCTTCTACCTCTGGCCAAGTGGGATACGTTCGTCGGGTCTGTTCGTCGGCAGAATCTTGGGTTACCTGGTTTATTGGTCTTTCGGACGCCATGATGCTGAACTTCAAATCTGCTGATTTGCCGGGTAACAGTGTACTTACGAACTGACTGTGTTGCTGGCGAATAGTGGACTTGAAGCTGTCATCCTGACACCATTATATAGAACACACGATAGCGAACTGTAGATTCTAGAACGAATGATGCATAAGGCTTCGCTTTCAAGTCCAGTCGGGAGAGATAGAGCACAATAGGGAATGTCTTATGGCCTCGAACTCGGGGCGCCGCGAAAGTTTCGACATAGTTGGTCTGCAACATGTTGAGCTCAAAGAAGGAGAAAGCCATTCGACTCTGGTTTCATGTTATAGAAGAAGAATTCTGTACGTGTCATATGTGACATTGCTATTGTCATGGCTATATTTTCTGTCCCTGAAAGCTGTCCTCTTGAGCCTCACGAGTTGCGACCGAGAAGCCCCCCCAAAAGACCTCGTTCGACACTGCACTCCGGTTTGTCTTTTTCTGAATTACTTACTTGAGCTTTCTCAGCTAACTGAACGTTTGAAACCACATGACTGGATGACTTCTTTTATGCCTTGATTGTTCTCTCTAAATCTTTTCTCATGACCAGCAAGTTGAAACGCGTACGATAGAGCAAGTTGGGAGGGGTAGGATAACTCGAAATTAGATAACAGTCAACCAGGGCGAGTAAGGTTCTTTGTCCTTGAACAAAATGATTTCAAATTCTGTTTTGCTATGCTTTAACTTGAAGTTTATTGGCCCTGAAATTTTGTAAGCAGATAGAACTTCATAGGAAGAGAAAGGAGCTAGTTGACAATGTTCAAAGCAAAGCAAGCCACATAAAGGATCGTACCTAGAAAAAGTTTTACAATGGCCTCTGACGTAACCGCTTTTCGAGACTAATCAAGATCCTCTGAAGACCCCCTTGTCGGCTACCCAACTCAACAAACAAACTGGGGTTTAAATATCGGGGGCCCGGCAACTCAACGTTTTGCAAGGTTGCAAGCAAACAAACCTGATTCAATTATCGGTGTGCCTTTAATTCGCCAAACTGAAGTTCGCTCCATGGATGATGAATGGGACTGCTGATCTAGAATTGTTCTAGAACATGGCCAAGTCCGAAAAGAGCATCCCGTACTCGTATCAAAGAAAGAAAATGCATAGTAACCTTGGGGGGAGGTGGATATGTCACGTTGTGCCGTCGTTTCCAGAGGGTTACAACTATTACGTGGTTTGCGTGTGTGGTCCCCCCTTTCCCAAATAATCATACTTAATTACCCTGCACAATAAGTTTGCTGGGTCCAAAGGGGGAAGGGAGAGAGAGCTCCGCAACCCCCGGGTCCCGTGGCGAGGGAGCGGCTCTTCCCGCAAACTCTGTCGGCCCATCGGACAAAAACCTGGGACAAAAGAAAGGGAGGCTTTTCCTCTTTTTGATTTTCTTGGATGATGTGCATAATGATACAGGTAGCATCGCCAAAATATCTGGAGAAGCGAGGAAACAACAGGCGCTTCGCTTTCAGTGTGGTGACGTTGGATGAAATATGGCGCGCCTATCGAACAAAGCCTTGCAAGGAAAATGACAAGTCACATGAGTCAAACACCAATTGCCGGAAAATCCTCATTCTTTAATGATCTGGTGATGCCCAACACTAACCCAATCTTTCTCCTTTTTCAAAAGAGCAAAAGGAGAGAGAGGGACGAAACCTTGTCGACTTGGCGAAAGCCACGCTCTTTAGTCCGGTATCCGAGTCGTGAATTTTCTGGGATGATTGGCCAGGACCCTTGCAAAAGCGCATAACTAATCCGAACCAGAGCTGGCTGACAAGTGGTTCGGAGGGGGGAGGGGTTTCGCTTGGGCAGCCGCAAAAGGGGGGTGTGGTCGATCACCAAAGCTGGAAGTTTGCGTGGTCTTTTTTCAGGGAATCGGATCCTTCTTGCAACAGTACACTAATCCTCGTATAAGAGGCGCACTAACGAAATTATGTACGGAGTCAGAAAGCAAACAATGGACAAAGTTTCCTGTAGCAAGATGGAGGTGTAGTATTCATTAATTGAGATTGTGAGTTGTACGGATACATTTGTTGAAAAATCATAAAACAAAGCTCATTTTCGCGCTCTCTCGCAAATAGTACAAAACTTTCTCGCTCGGCACTACAGATATCCGACAACCTAAGATTGCAAATGCTACGTTCAGTCGCTCAGCGTGCTCATCCATGCAGTCGATAAAAAACAAAACAGCCACACCAACGACAAGGCAGATCGATAGTCAAACCTTCGTACCAAGGAAACAAAAACAAAACCGAACAATAAATAATCAGAATGCCTCCCAGTAGGTATCTCATGCTGCTTCCAAATCCCAATAACATCAAATCGTAAACGGTATGTGTGTGTGTGTGTGTGTGTGTGTGTGTGTGTGTGTAAGTCATGGAGGAGGAAGAAGGCAAAGCTTGAGAAGCTTCACGCCTTCACCTTTACTTGACCAAAGATATCCGCCATGAGATGTTCGTACGGAGCCAGAGGATGCTCCTCGGCCAGATCCATATCAGCCATCTTGTATCGTGGGTTCGATGTGTGCATTGCGTGGAAACCCCGGGCGCACTCCTGCATAGATTGCTCGTACGTGCCCCTCCCCTTGAGGATGGCTGAGGCTCTGTTGGCGGCATCTACCGTGTCGGTAGCGACGTCTTCCAGGACTGCGAATACATCCTTGCCCGTTGCCATACGGCGGTTGTGAATATAGTTCCTGGTCTCGCCGCCAAGTTCCTCCTTGTAAAAGCTGATTAAAGGCACGCGGTCAGACATACATCGATGGATGAGAAAAAGCAATTATACACTAAAAAGTGTCCGTGTGTTATAGATAATGGCGGGGGGTGAATGACTTACGAGAAAACGTCGTTCGAAATGTCGATCACCCTGGCCATGTCAGGGATGGCCTCCAGGTATTGACTCACGTCCGGGTATTGGGCCTTTGGGAAGCAGAAGACGGCATACGCCACGTTTATGCCAGCCAGGTCGCGCAGGAAGTCGGGGAACTTGATCCCGGCGCCCCGCGTGGTCTTCATGTTCTGGAAGCCATCGTGACGCTCGAGCAGGTTGCAAGTCATGAACTTGAGAGCCGAGATTTGCAGCAAGCTGGCCATGACGGGGTCAAAGATGTCAGGAGCCTGCCGCAGCAGGCCCGCCAGCCCTTCGAGCATGGCATTTGGCTGGGTCTCGCCGTTGAGGAAGCGCCGCTGGAAGTGCTGGGCCTCGTCCATGCCGCCTTCATTCTGGCCCACGATGTCGTCGTACTGAACGACGAGCCAGGTAAAGAGCCCAACATAACCCTGCACCTCTATCGGGTGACGGGGGTGGCACATCTGTTGAGGGTGTTCCGTCAGCACGCTACTTATCACAATCACATTTTAATCCATGGGAAATTCCAAAATAAAATCGAGGGATTATTCCAACGTCAAAACGTGGCTTTAGGGTAGCATGAATGGTAAGGAGGTGGGATACATACCGCAGCTAGTGAAAAGCCCAAGCGGAACCCCTTCTGGGACAGAGGGGTATCGAGTGGCCATCCGATCTCGACGGCTCTCTTGTGCATATATTTCAGAAGCGCTTCCACGGACTCGCGCTTAACCTGCGGGACGCCGGGGTACTTGAGGTCCTCGAGCATCTGTTTGCAAATGGGCTTGCAGAGGGCGGCCAGCCGCTGGGGTTCCTTTGCCAGTTCATCTTCGAGGCGGATTCGCTTCGGGGCGCACAAACCCCACACGGAGCTGAGCATCCGGAGCCACGGCTGCGCAACCAAAACAGCGGCGCCGTTGATTCCACCAGGGCTGAGACCAGGAGGGCTGACCATGATCTTGGGGGAGGTGGACATTAAGGGCAACAAGTGAGAGCTCGAGAGGAACGAGCTCTAGAGGAAGGGCGGTGGGTTAGTAAGGGCGGTTAATACTGGATATGAATTGTCGGTGTAGGTAGAGTTTAGTCTAGAAGAAGCACAGACAAGAAGCTAATGACCATATCCATGAAACCTCGAGACGGGGGAGACCTGGGCTTTTTATTCCTACATGGGCTCGCGATGCTCCCATGGACAGGGAGGTCGATATGAAAGGCATGTGGGTGGCAGGGCATCGAGAGGTTTCCATTTCGAGCGAGGTGCCGGGGCGAAGAAGGAGGAGGAGGAGGCATTCGGCGGTCCAGGTTTGGCTACGGCGGCAATGGTGAGGTGGTGAGCGAGGCAACGGCGAGGTGAGGAATAGTGGCATCAGCGCAAAGTGAGAGAAAATGCGTGCGATTTGATACCTCGATCGCCAGCCATCGCTCCCCTATCCCTAGGTTAAACCAGACCGTTTGACGGTTCGCCGTTGGCTCGTGTGGCATGTGGACAGGGTTAAGAGCAGAGTGGGCTTAGTCCCAGTTGCTAGTTCAACAATGCTGCAGGTTTGTCCCTCGTTGTTGGAGGTACACTACTTTTGTGTACACGCGCTACAATGTGCATTGGTACCATGGTCTAGCCAGGGCCCCTAGGGAGGACAGTATCCAGGCTGGACCGGGTTGACAAGTTGTTAGTGGAGAATGGGCAAGCATTTCCAAGGGTCGTGGCCATGCAATGCAGCAAGAAAAAGATGGTGGTGGCGTACGAAGTTTGTGCGAGAGTGGACGGAGGAAGGTCCGAGACGGAGACCTATCACGCAGTAGAGGATGGATCATGGCGCCAGGAGACATCAATTGAACTAAGGTCGAGTGCCGATACGCAGTCTCGGTACAAAGTCCAGACTTTTGAGGTCACAAGAGTGGTGTGCTGTCATGGTGTTGGATGTAAGGGAGTACTTCGTAAGTGTGAGTGTGAGTGTGAGCGTGAGTGTGAGGTGGTTTAGGCGAGTCCGTGGAGGGGGTTAGATTGTGAGATCATCCCGAAACCGCATCAACTCCCGGATCGCATCATGGTCCATGGATGTGTAGCTGTTGACGGCCAGGTTTCCCCAAGTGTGCCTAAAATGGGTGTATTCCCGGGTTGACGATATATGTGCAGTGTAGTAAGACACGAAGAAACTCGTCAGGGCAGTGTCAAAGACGGGAAGCAAGGCATATTTTCGGAGGGGGAGTTGCGAAGTTGCGGCGTGCGGTGCGGCGATGACGACGCACGTGAGTTTGTAGTCAGCAAGGAACATGGTAGCCCCGAGTCAGGAGACGGTGGGACGGCAGGAACGGGTCCCAGAAAAAGAGAAGATGAAAGAGGAGCCCACCCAAGAGCGCAAGAACCGTCACTGTCTTGTCTGTCAGGGCTTGTGCTTGTGCTTGTGGTACCTGCCATCCCATGCTGATGCACGCAGGTCGCAGGAAGGAAGTGGGGGTCATCTGGGGTCGTGCGAACATTGGCTTCCCAAACATGACATGATCATCTGTAAATTGCTCCTCCATACACTCCGTACCCAGCACACAAACCCAGCATTCAACCCGGTACGGAGCACCTTACTGTCAGGACGGGTCCAATTGTGCCCGCCAACGGTTGCCAAGTGGAAAAGGGGGCCCTTTCTACTGTGTAGTGTGTATCCGTACGGAGTAGTGTACGGAGCACGAACAACTTGCCCATCCTTACACAGTATCCGTACAGGCAGACAGGCCACCACCCAAAGGCAATCCATCCATGAAATTCATCCCATCAGAGCCGTAATGCGGTACCCGTAGGTGGCTGCGGGCCATGCCTTGGAGCCATGCCGTATCTTCGTACCTTGGTGCCGGGGTGGGCGGGGTGGCACGCTGCACTCACAGACTTTCCCAGACCCAGACCCAGAGCAGTAAAGCTCCAATACTCCATACACACAAAGATGGCTACCGCTTTCGCTAGGTGTTCCATTCCATTTCGTCTCAGCTTCGGCGTTCCGTGAGCCGTACGGGTGTGGAACTGTTGACAATTTCGGAGTAGTTGCTTGTTCACTTGGTGACTATGTGGCTGTTGCGGCCGTTGTATGGAATCATTCGAATCAGACGAACACGCGCACGAACACGCGAACTGCCGGATGGCGGATGGGGCGCAGGTTCATCATTCGGAGGGTGTCTCAGTCGGAGGAGGGAGATTGCGTTTGCAGAATGGTCGAGGCATCGGAGCGAGAAACCTGGAAAAACCTTGCTTTCGCTTTTAGATCGCCGAATATTTGAATTACCATGGATGGTCCATGGCCTATTTTTCTGCCCACTCGATGTTTTGGGTCTGGCTGTCCAACCTTACCAAGCGTGTCGTCGAGCCTACCTTGCCTTACTCCGTACGTTACGCGAACCTGCGGCTTTGCCTGCGTGTCTTGACGAAAAGTGTTCCATTCAAGTAAAAGGGAAACCCACAAGGTCTTTCTTGGTAAGCTGGGTCTCTGCACAAATGCAGCAGAGAAGTGGCCGTTTTCAGCCGTCGCCTTCTCCACCGGGCCCATGCCGGGTCATAGGGTACGTACTGTGCAGAGACAGCCATAACCGGGCAGGCAAGCAACGCCAGGCATGGGTTCTTTCCCTTTCGCTCCCTATTCGTACACTACGTACTCAACTTACCACAGAGTTCAACTTCGCGTGCTGTGCTGGTTGCGTGGTGCATCTCTCATCTAGCTTCATTGTTCCCAGTCCACCATTTCGTCAAATTGTGTCACTATTCCAGGCAATGACCGATAGACCAGCCGCTCGCCACGCTGCTACCAGTACGAGTGCCGTGCCGCTCTCCTTGGAAATGTTCCCGAATGTCTCTGATGGCGACCACCACACGCATCCACGGTCCACCACCGCCGCCAGTCCACAACCACACAACCACGCATCAAGACTTAGTTACGACACACACCCCCTCCCTCTTCCCCTTGAACCTTGAACCTTCCCACCTGCGACCCCTGGATAGCGTGAGCCCGTCTTCTTCTGAAGGAGGGGGAAGCTAGCCGTATCCCGTCGAACTTCGTCGACCTTTACGCCCCATTGGCACGCTGTGCCCGTCTTTTTCGGCTTCTCTCTGTCTCGCTGGAATGTCTGGCTGGAGTCTGGACCCCTGTGCTATGAAAATCTCAACCCGAGCATGGCATTGGGAACAGCCGACAGCATCGATGCCCCCAGAGATCCCCTGCCCGAGCCGCTGGGCCCGCATCTGCGCCTTCTTGGTATAAACGCCGGCGTCCCGTTCGGAGTCCTCACTTCTGCGCTGGACGCGCTTCAGATTCGCCCTGCCGTTGCATTGTTGGTGTGCGACCCAGACACTCACACGCCGCAAGTCAAGTCAAATCCTGTCAGCAGCAGCAGCAGACCCGTACGGATACTTCGTAATACCTACCTTACTCTCGGGAACTGAGTGTGAGACTGAGTGTTGGAAACCTACCCCTGCCCTGCCACCCTTTCCACTCTCCCACAGCTCGACCTGCAGAAACTGGAGAAGAGGGAGAGAGAGATAGCAACAGGCCCTCACCTGAGACCTGATCTGGAGCTGGAGCACAGGAACCGGCACATCAGAGACAGGAGGAAAACACATACGGATACCGGTACCTTACACAGAATTCCCGAGGAGTGAACAATCGAGACAACTGTTTGTTGCTGTCTCCTGTTTGGCCAAGCCCTCGCCCGATCTCGCTCACTCGCTCGCTCGCCCGCTCCGCCGAACCGAACCAGAGCATTGCTGCCGTTAAGATGAGCATTCAATACCGGCGTCTGGACCCTTCGAGGCGTGAGATCCGCCTGCTTGAGATCCAGTCCGCGCGCAGCCTCAGCGATCCAGTCGAGTGCCGCCTCGTCACAGTTCGCCTGACCGATGAGTTGTCCCGCGAGTACATCGCCCTCTCGTCACTCTATGGCGATGCGTCCGAGACCGAAAAGATCTTTGTGGGCGGCCATACTGTCACCATCACCGCCCATCTGGCCCAGGCACTGAAGCAGGTCCGCGCCGTCTTCTACCCGACTATCTCGCAGCGCTTCCAACGGACGCCGGCCAGGCGGCCTCACGGCGCCCCGCGATGGCTTAGGCAGCTGTTCGGTCTCAGTAGCTCACGTCAGAGTGACTTGGAGTCGAGGTGCCTGAGGGTGTGGTGCGACTTCCTCTGCGTCAACCAGCGCGACGACGTTGAAAAGTCCAAGCAGCACACGGACATGCGTAACATTTACCGCAACGCGGAGCTTGTCGTCGGGTGGCTGGGCGACAAGACGGACTACACCGATGAGGCCATGGCCGCTCTCGCGCGGATCGAGGACGCCATGCCGCCCCACTGGGGCGACCCCGGCGACCGCGAAAAGCACCCCGAAGACTACGCGCCAACTCACAAGTGGGCGGTCCCCATTTCACCTCTATGGGCTCCTGGTCCCAACGGCGAGATTCCGTTCATGATGCCGCACTGGGCCGGTGCCAACGACTTCATGGGCCGTTCCTACTTTCAACGTCGCTGGATCCTTGAAGAGCTCGCCATGGCGAGGTTCCCTACCTTTTTGATTGGAGACACCATTGTTCCGTGGAAGCAGGTACTCCGCTTGAACCGCATGATGGAGGAGTTCAAGTATCATCCGTCCGAGATCTTCCCCGCGGTAAGTAACTCACCGTACCATTCTTTTGGAATTTTGGCCTTCAGGCTAAGCCTCCGGCCGGCGCTGTAACGCTCGCCTCACCTACTTTGCCCCCCTTACGGCCGTAAACCTTTGCATGAAGAGATCTCGATCGACTGACCCGGTTTCTTTAGAACCTATCGGCCATGATAGCCGAGTTGCCTCTTGAGACAGCGCATAAGCTTCTCGATGAGTTTGCAAAGCGGGAGGCGCTAGAGGAGGCCCAGATCCTCAAGGAGACGGGAAGCAGCAGGGCGACCTCGTCCACGCGATCCACCGACACCAAGTAATTGGCGTGGCGTGCGTGCCATCGGTATTGGCGATGGTCGGGGTTCCGATCCAGATTTGAGTAGGATCCCGACGAGAGAGGCAAGGTAGCAGGCGGGTATGGGATGGTCCAGTGCTTATCACTCACCTCAGTGACCTCACTTGTAGCAGGCAGGAGTTGTAGACCAGCCTGGAATGCTGCCAAGCCATGTCCGAAGGGAGGCTTATGGTTTGAGGGGTAATGGGAGGGGAATTCCACGGAAAGGAGGGCTTAGCGTTGTAACGAGGATACCCAAAAGTTCCTTCTAGCTTCATTTTAGTAGGATCTTTGAACTTGTTTCTTTTCTTTCTTCTGTTTTGCTTGTGGCCGTTTGTCTCCTTTCTTCCAGCAAACACATGCGCGCGCACGAGACGAAAAAAACGTACGGTTCCGTCGTGATATAAATACCAAGAGCCTCCTTCCCACAAAGACTGTCCGGAATGCGCGGGTACGCTTGCCATGTGGTATTGAAGAATTTCGGACGAAACGGGACGAAACGGGGTCAAACTGGAGCGTTTTCCGAAGCTCCGGTATAACGCACACCCATCGCATCACATCACATCAAATCAACCCCTCCCCCCGCCCACTTCACGCCCAGGCTCCATGTCGTGCGACCCCGATGATTCGACTTTTTTTTGCAAAGTATGAAGATTGAATAGCGGGCCAGATCAAATGCGAGGAATGATTTGCGAACTTGTGAAGGTTTCCTGCTGGGTCTCCAATAGTGTGATGCAGGATCCTGTGCGATGATAACTGATACTCTGGGGGGCTTGAGTAGGGAGGGGGCTGTTTCCTCTCTCTCGTCTTTGTTGGAGAATGAGAGGGGTTATTCTGCAGGCATCGCAGGCATCGCCAACCAAACAGAATGGTTTCTTTGGATAGGTATCTGTATGAAATCAATGGAATAAACTTTCGAGGACTCGAGAATGACAGGCAAGGTTTAGTAGCCAGAACTGGTCCTGCATGATTTGCGACCTGCTGACCAGCAGATTACGTACTGAGGGAATTTTGTTCGTTGCAGAAACGCCAAAAAAGCTTCTGCTGCTCCTTCTGGCCTACCTCACTGCATTGCTGCAGCGCGCGCAGGGCAGCGCATCATGCAGCTTTCCTGCGGCAATTCCGCTTAAGAAGCAAAGTGCAGCCGGGCAGGGTACGGTACACAGGACAGGGGGGGGGGGGCCGGGGGCTTTTATATGCAGGTTTTCTCATTCCAACATTACGGAGTAATGTCCGTACTACCTGGAATGCTCCCAGTCAGCCAAACGAGCGAAACTTGCAAAGAAGACAACCAACCTCTCATTCTCTCGACGGCGAAATAACGTACCGCTTAACCGAGGGAACCGACAGTTTGGCACGCGCCACCACCTTTCTATTTCGTCCAGTAGTTCCGTGTCCAACCTGAAACTATATTCGCTTGCCATCCAGCTTGCACCAACGCACACAACCAAAACCAACAGCATGAACCCATCCCATGGCCTAGACATGCGTTTTTGTTGGCCATGTTTGATTTTTGCTCCCTTTGTAGGGGCCCATGTTGACGTGGTAATCACATACGATAATTCTTCACCGCCACTACTTGGCCCTGCTCGTTGGACGGTTGGAGATGTTTCTTTGGCGACGATCATGTACTTGTCTTCGAAGTCACCTTTTGTCTACAAAGTCACTTCGGTTGATATTCCGGAAAGTGCGGAATTATCAGAGTATTTGGTCCGAACATTTTGTTGTCAACTGATAACGATTGGTTCCCTCTTGGAGCCGAAATGTCCGGAGAGTCTCTCGTCCCCAGGATTTTCGCAATTGTTATCTCCTGTCTTTTTTCTCTCTCTCACTGAGTCGCTCTTTGAAGTAATTACGAGAAAGAAATGTTCAAAATGATTAATGTCAACAATTGAACGCCAACTGGCCTGATGAAAGATTCAGACTGATCTGCTTTGCGAATCGAATGACGAACGAAGGCCCGAGCCGCGAGCGATTTGGCAGAGTATCTTTAGTGTTGGCTATCAGATCACGCGAGATTTCTCGCGCCTATAAAAACTCACAACCAATACTTGAGTTGTGATGGTCCTGATCAACTACGAATAGGTTTCTCGTTCATACACATTTCTGCTCTAGCCAGCCACCCAAATGCTCGAGCTATTTATTATTAGCAATTGGCAGCGAGACACGACTCGACCATGCATGCAAGTTCTGACGAGTCGCAATTCTTACAAAAAGACGCAAAGAATAGGGGGGAACAATTACAAAAACTGTGTCGCATCGCGTAAAGAAGTGCGACAATTGAATTTCGAGGGGCAGGTGTGTTAATGCAATTGAAATGAGTGTTACCAAGTGTTGAGGCTCTACGGATACGAAGTGCAAATGCAACTGTAGCGTCAAAAGCTCAAGCCGCGCCAGACATCTTACCACCAACAATAACCCCACAATTATGATTTTCCCCCGCGCCCTCAAGCGCGTGTGAGGTTGGATTTGGCACCTCTTGTTCGCTCGGAACATGACAAAGAGAAATTGGTGGCCGATCAACCAGAGTGGCAGAAGAAGCGAAGCAACGAGAGGGTTGCGATTTGCGAAGCGAACCGGTCAGATCACTGTTTAGTGGAGATCTTTCCCCAGTTTGAGGACTTTCGTGCAGCTCTTGGCTGGTGGCCGAAAAAGAAGGAAACATCCCATTCATCCCGTACCGTCCAATGCAAACCAACCGAACCGAACCCCACGGACGCGCGCACGCACGCACGCACGCACGTACTGTCACGCACGTACATCCGTACGGTACGGCCTCGGCCGTGCCGCAACCCTGCATGGGAGTGTGGTTGTACAAAGTCTTATTTGTTTATCCTTTTGAGGCTCTAACCTGCCTTTTCCTGCATCTCTCCGAAAAAAATGTCTCGTTTATTGAACGATATGTGGGCGAGCATATGCAAACCTGACTCACGGCACGAGGTAGCATCAGAGATCCTAATCTGCAGATGCAATGAATAAATGAACGGGCAGAAAAAAAACGGAAAAAAGAGAAGGAGAGATAAAAGAGGAATGTTCAGGCCGTTCTAGGCCTATATAATACAATAAGGCTCCATTTCCAGGGTTGAGCTGCTATCGTCACATCGTGATACCACCGCCACGGAAGCTCCAGAACGTCTGCTCCTACAGATCTCGGAAACTTCCACCTCAGAGCAACAAACGGTCAAGATGGTGAATAATCGCTGCGAGAGATGATCTTTATAGCTCGTCTTCAACATGAAGAAAGCAGGCCGCCTCGGACTTTCGGGTTAAAGGCGAGACTTTGCCAGATGCGAACAATACGATAGCAGCGCCACGTGGGCTTCGGCTCTCGATGTCGACCTTCGGCGAGATCAAAGTCGATGAATATTCGCATGTGCTTCCCCTTTGGCCAACCTCGCCGCGAAATACTTAGGGTCATCGCGGCATAAGGCTTCCCGCGTTCTTGCCTTTAGTGCCAACCTACACGAAAAGACCGGGGGAACGGCGTTTCGATCCCCAATCTCGGGCACGGGCTCGATCCAGTGGGCTTTCTTTTCTTATTTGTGATAATCCCAAACCAAGAGGAATTCTTTTGTCCTGGGTGAGCTGATCTTTGAAAACGGTGTCGCGGTCTCCCGTGAGCTAGACTAACGCCACCAAAAGCTTCCTATCACTCAGTTCCTCTGGAATGATGGAGGGGATGATCCAGCCGCCGTCCCAGCTCTAGGCTTCTAGGCCCTCCCGGAAGCGAGGGACACTTTGCCATTTGCGGCGGGAGATGGATGGAAGAAAAAAGCAATGATTGCTTGACCAAAGTCTTACGTCTGGATCCGATTTGTTGCCTGCTGCCTTTCTCACTCGTTCCCACCGATCGAAAAAAAGAGTGGCACGGATGGATATTTCTTTGCTTTTACCGTGCGCCTCAACAGACTGCATGCGTCCAAGGCGCAACCCTTCTTGCAGCCACCGTCCATCGTCGACCGCAGCCGCCAGCCCAGCTCCAGCCCACCACCCAGGAATGTACCGCTGTCTTGTGATTTTTCTTTCTCAGCCCAAATGCCAAGGAAAACGAATCGGACTGCTCACCGTGCTTTGAGACATTTTGGGGTCAAGATCCGGCTTTCCTCGATGAGAGTCTTTGATCTTTATAAGGGATGGCTAGTCCCCCCACAATCCCCTAACCCCCCGCGAGCCTTACACACCCTTCCACGTCCCACAACCCAAGGGAGACAGGACCCCTAGACCCGAGTCCTTGGAGAGAAAGAAAGAGAGAGAAGAAAACAGAGAAAAGGCCCTCTCACACACACCCGAAATCAGCTTCACGAAGCTCTTTTCGAGCGCGGATCGCGCGTTCCGTTTAAACGCCCAATATGGATCCTTTACCACACCTGTCGCCCGAGGAGTTGCAGGAGGATAAGTCGCCACTGGTCCTGGGTGTGATATCAATGTGCCTCTTCATATCGACGGGCATACTGATTCTGCGGCTCTGGACCCGCTTCCACATTGTAAAGAGAATTGGTATCGACGACTGGGCTGCCGCTTTCTCGTTGGTAAGTTCGAACCAAAGGTTGCAAGCCGTGGCAAAACCTTTGTGGTGTGTTGATGGAAAAGCTGACTGTGGTAGATATCGGTATTAGGCGTCGGTCTTTCACAGGTAGTGAGTGAGTTTTGGCCATTTCATTAGACTGTATTACCCGAGTTGAACACTCAGACTAATCAGCGATAAGTGACGCGATATGGTCTCGGGAAACACCAACAAACGGTTTCACCGGATGAAATGATTGGATTCATGAAAGTAAGCAAACCTCGCCCGGAATCGAATCACGACCCCTCTGACGGATTCAATCACTCCAGTGCTTCTGGGTTTCTGTCCTCTTCTACAGCCTGGGTCACTTGTCGTTCAAGATGGCTTTCCTGCTACAGTACTACCGCGTACTGGTTACCCACTACATGAAGAAGTACTACATCGCTGCCATGATCTTCGTAGGGGCTTGGGGGCTTAGCGTTGTGATCATCTCCTTTATCTGGTGTATTCCTCTCGAGGGCTTTTGGGACCGCTCAGTCCCGGCAAAGTGTCTTCCTCAGCAGGTCCTCTTTTACCTCTTCGGGGCCTGCAGTATCGCGACAGATATTCTCATCTTCCTGCTGCCGCTACCAGCGCTGATCCAGCTCAAACTTCCGAGGACTCAAAAGCTGTACCTGCTTGGCATCTTCAGTCTTGGATTCCTGTAAGTGTTTAGCTCTTGGGATACTGTCATGCTCGGGTCTGTTTGACTGATTCTTTTTCCCTTCCTCTAGCATCGTCGGCATTTCCGTCTTGCGACTCCAATTCTTAAAGATCGACCCAGACTTCACCTACTGGAACGTGGAGCCTGCTATGTGGTCCCTCGGCGAGCTCTCAGCGGCAATGGTATGCCTTTGCCTGCCTCCTCTCAAAGCCCTCGCAGCCCGCATGGGCCTGCTTGTCACCAGGACGGGGACTTCGAGGACTGTACCCTCGACGGTCGACCAACACACCCGCGGACCGGCGTCCAACGCGCCGCTCTCGCCCGTCCCCAGGGCGGTCGACACCTACCCGACGAATTCGCCCGGCAGCGAGAAGCCCGGCAGCTTTGGAAATTACGTGGTGGAGACGGAGCGCAGCGACGAAGAAGTGATTCGGCCCAGTCCTGCGCACATGGTATGAACATTGAATATGGAAGATTTGGGCATACGATTTTAATGAGGTAATGCATTCTGGAAGGCGCCATCAACAAATTGGAGTCTCCCTTCTGGGACTGTGTGGTTTTCAGGTTATCGGGTCACGGGTAGCGTTGGGAGTTTGGGCACATTAGGATACCACCAGACTATAAAGTCACAACCGATATTGATAGTATTAATACCAAGAAATCACTCACTCAAGAAACCAGCTGATATCAGAGGCTCTGGCCTCGGATAGTTTGACATTAGCGAGACCGCTTGAAACTTGCTTACTTTTTAGCGGGATACTTCTGCCAGCATTTGTCACTGTGAAGTACTAATACCGCTCTACTACTATACTTACGTTGACGGGGCGACGAAGGATGACTTCCCGCACGTTACACAACATTAGTTTCACAACACCTGCGCTAAGGCTACTCACACAACGTAGTGTTGGAGATCTGCTTAGTTCGCGTCTGTTGCCGCCGCTAAGTGGGACATGGTGGTGAGCCTCAATCTTTAGATTCACTTACACATCAGCATCAGCGGCCGTAAGAAACTAGACAACAACTTTTTTTTTTTTACAAAAGTTACGACCAATACGACCCTTGGTGGAATACATCTCCACATTGGTCTCATCGGCAAAATTGTGCCGAAAGAAAGCTTCAGCTTACGTCGAAGCCTGATCCAAGCCTTTGCAGCTTTGCACCGTTTGCGGGTCCCAAGGGGAGCTCCACTGGCGAGCAAGGACATCCTGGATTCGAATAGATTCCTTCCCATTTGGGTAATTATATAATGTCAATGAAATCGCTCAAGTCCGGTGGTGCGCCCATTTGAAAGTCGTGGCAATTCGCGCGTCATGGTGCTTGTCTCGTCGACGATTCATTGTACAGAAGGCCTTGAGGATAAGGCGAAGTTTGCCAGTTCAAAACTTGTTTCAGGAAAGATAAGAAGCTGTGATAAGACGAAGTAAGTTTGATACGTATTTATGAGTGTTGGCTACCTTAATCTCCATACAGGCGCGGAAGGAAGGTGAGTATACGTCTGGTGGCTTACAAGTTACAACTTGCAACTCCAGAGAGGAAAACCGAGGCCAAGATCCAATTCAGGGGCACTTCTCTCCACTAACGTAAAATTCTAATGGCTCAGCCCGATCTCGTACACGGTAAGAAGGAAAATAATGATACCAAATTAGGGTGGCAGTCATGAATCTCAGATATAGTCTCAATTACCGATAGAGCAGGGAGTTTGACTCGTCTTCATGTTCCAGAACACAAAAGGATCCTCACTCAAAGCAACCTCCCGCAGATTTCGGAGTTTTCAATCTATGACTTTTCTAACTTTCGGCTAAATTGATGTGAGGGGAAAGAAACCCCACGCTTTGGGATAACAAAATTCGCTGCTCCATATTCTGAACTGACATTTTCGCTTCAAAGAATTGTTGCTCTAACTGAATCTACAGATCTTGAACACTCTTGAAACTTCCAGACTCTTTCTCTTCTCAACCGACTGGTTTGATTAAGTCGGTGTGCTGGATCTACTTTCCTCAAACGCCGAGTCTGAATCATTACAGTGACAGCTCAGCACACAATCTGTCCCAAAGTTGCTTAACATATCGTCCCACTCCTGTATAGTCTGATACACATGCCTCAGTAGCTTTCGCAGGTAAAGACCGTGGTGACCTCTCGTAGCGGAATGGTGAAAGGAGCATCCGGCCATGTAATCGAAGCATCCACGACACGTAAACAAGATCAAATATCCATGAGTCATCTCATGGATCAGGAGCTCAACGATTTGCGCAATCGTCCACGTTCCTGCAGAATCAATGTCAATGTCCACGCTGGGAAGCGAGCCAACCTGCTCCTTGACCACTTCCACGTGCGAAGCGCTGCCTTGTTTTTGGCAGACCTCGTTGTTCTCATGAATACACACTTTGAGGTGCGACTGCACAATGCCTGTTCGTCGTCGACGCGCCGTAAGCCATCCTCTGAAAAAGTAATGGTCGAGCAGAGACGCCACCCTAATAATGTGAGCATAGTGACTTGGGTCTCGATTGTCGTAGAGTTCATGGAATCCTTCGATTAGTGCATGCTTCAATTCATCGTGATGTTCTAGGTTGGTGTAGGGGCCCAGGGCTTGCCCGTTTTCGATTGTGCTAGCGACTAGATCTGGAAGGCGATATGTGCCGTATTGACCTGGTGGCTCAGGTCCAAGTCCATGCCAGTGGAGAGCGCAGGAACATAGTTCAGAAGGATTCGGAGGACGCGGTCGTTGTGCCTCCATGGTGGCAATGTCTTGGCAGTTTTGTACTCTAGTCTCTGGCGGCGTCGAAGTAGACCACTCACGAGCAGGACAGAGGCCACAGTCGACGCAATATAAGCCCAATCGTCTTGAAGCCTAATCGCATTGAGTTGCGAACGCGGTATATGTACAGTGCTTGAACGGAGACCGTGCCTAGAGACTAGAAACAAAGCGCCTCTTTGTCCAGGTCTTGAGGTATATGCCGTATCGAACTTTATGTACTCAACAGACAAAGAACGAACAATACGCTTCAGCCATCTACTTGGTTTCTCAGATTTGACGGTTCATTTTCTTTGTATCTTTGCTTTCTATCGGACCTTTCGATTTGACACTTCCATGCTTTAGATACCTCACCATTGGACCATTGCTTTCGAGTCACCTGACACTTCGCTAGATCACACCAGCAATCAGGAGCAGACGCTTTTGCAAATAAATGTTATACATATTCTCAAAATTTTCTTGAAAACCGGAATTTCCACTCTCACAACCCATCACACCCTCTCAATGTTTCTGCTTCATTCTTACCACTTCCTCCTGTGACCCAACGCCTACAAGGGCAGTGCCCTCAAGCGCCATTTGAGTATAGCCATATCTTAACCTTCGATTTTTCAACATCCTAGCGAGGTCAATGCCGTCCATTCTTCCAGCGGTAGGAGAAATATCCATATATTTGGAATCCCGCACGACAGTCGACGCGTATCCCAGAATCTCCGGCCCGTGAACAAAGTGCGTGACAATAGCACTGGCCAGACCTCCCAGGAGAAGCACAATACAAGACAGAATATAGAGGCCCATCCATAGACCAGGGACGTAGAAAACTTCCACCAAGGTCTCGACGTCGACACCAACAGTGGCATTGGGCTCAAAGGTGGCATTGGCGTCTACGCTTCCACTGGGGGCGTTCGAGAAAGCCTGGCTGAGGAAAACGTATGAATTGACCAGCTGCGCAAGCCGGTACCCAAAGTCCTTTGGATCGATGCTCGCCAGCTCTGGTGGTGTGTTTGCACCAGTCATGGTGATCGAGGATGGATTCTCGAGGTAGTTCAAGGAGATATCCGACGTGTAGCTTGAGCCAAAGTGGTTTGTTGCTTGAGGCAGCTTCCGCGAGACGTAGCGGAATACGCGTGTAAAGGACAACTGGGAGATGTTCTCATCGGCGTGGGTCTTCTGAGAAGGGCGCTGGGCCACAACACTACAACTCTGTCGAGCGGTGGAAGTAGAAGAGTCTCGCGAGCAATGCACTCTTGACTCCACATATTTCTGCGTGACGCCGCAGCGAGACGTCGTGTAATCCGGTGGTCCGCGGGAACTAGTCTGCTCCCTCGCTTGGAAGAGTAACGTCGTTCGGTTTGCCACCACCCCCTTCTCATTTGTAAATACGTTGGGACGGTTAGAGTCCTCGACCCTGAGCCCGCGCTTGGTGTACCAGTCGTAATCATTCCACTGCGCATCTACAAAGTTGTCAAGCGCGAGGTTCCATCCTGACACGCCGTCTGACGACGTTGTCTGGTTGAGGTTCCAACCCTGCCAGGTCCCGTTGGCGACGGTTCTGCAGCGGTCAGACATGCAGAGCGAGGTTTCGTTAAACATGACGGCCGTGGCGAACGAAGGGCCGGATTGGGTATCGTACGAAAATGCTGAGACGCTGATATTGTCGCATGCAAAGTGCATGTAGCTCGATTCCAGCGAAATAGTTGTGTTTCCCTCAGCGACGTGCGTGATAGGAACGCCGACGAGAGATGAGAACTCTATCTGCCCTTTATCTGCTGGAACGTCTTGCCATTCTGTCGTCTCAAAATTACCGTACGACGATAGCGCCGGAATCTTGACGTTTCCCCAGACATCCATCGAATCGCTCTTTACGGCGTCGGGACTAAGAATCAGAGCATTGTACATGGCATTGACAATGGACATGCGATTGATGTTATACGCGTAGCTCGTCGGCGAAGCATCTGACCAGGACGCGAAGAGGGACCGGGCGTCAGTGTCGAAGTAGACGACACTTGAAGGTGCAACCACCTTTCGAAGCCGGGTTTCGAGCATACGCAGGACGGATTGACCCCCCAGAGGCGAGAAGATCCATATCAGAATGAGTGATAGCGTCAGGAGATTGATGGCCCGAAGCTGGATGTGGACCAAAAGCGTGCCGCCGACGGTCCGGCTTCCCATCAGTTGCTCCAACGCTTCCATGGTGGCGCCCCTTTCTAGTTTCCAGCGGGCAATTTGGGACATGAGACGGCCTATGATAGCCGCGAAGATTATGGGGAAGAGGGTGGCAAGCTGGAACAGTCCATGTCAGTATTATGCTGTGAAGCGGGATACTCGAGAGTTGAAGAATACGTACAATGGTGACTGCATTTCGATATCGTCCAGCAGAAGTCTCGTCGGTCTCCTGCCCATTGATGCTCAACACCAAGAAGGCAAATATAAGAAACCCAACCGGGAGTATGACAGCACAGATATCAGCCAGGATCACGAACGGCGTCCAGCTGACCTTCGGGAAATCGTGTGCGGCATCACCGCCCTTGCCGCTGTCGCTCCGGGCTGTCGCTGAGTTGCCGTCATCCGGGTTCTGCAATGGTTCGTAGACCGAATTGCCGCGACTCGTCGTTTCTCGAATAACAGGTTCTTTGGGCGTCTTCCTTATCGTACCTGTGCCTTCAAAGTCCGGATTCGCGATCAAAGGACGTTGTTCACGCGGTGCGT